TGTACAAGGTGTGTGGGCTGGCGGGGTGGGCGGCGGGGGGGTGGGTAGCGTGCCCACGCCAGCATCTGCGCCAGGGCAGGCAGGCGGCAAGCAGGGGCGGGCTGTGAGGCAGGCGGGGCGAGGGCGGGGGCTTGCCGCGCCGGGGCAGGGCCGAGGTGGAGGGGGTGGAGGGAGGCATGTTGGCTGCCGCCACGCCAGCTGCCATCGCACGGCCTTGCCTGTGCACCCCCCTTTGCACCCTTGCTGTGCAACCCCCTGCGCCTGAGCCTCCCCCGCTGCTCAACCGCCAACCCTGCCTCCAACCCTGCCCCGCCCGCCCCCGCGCCGCCGCAGAGCTACGACCCTCGCGCCAAGCTGATGCGCCAGGTGACGTACCGCGTGCTGGAGAAGCTGGGGCGCAAGGACTCGCTGCTGGACATCGCCATGGAGCTGGAGAAGATTGCGCTGCAGGACGAGTACTTTGTCAAGCGGTGAGGGCGGGTGGGCGTGTGTGTGGGCTGGATGTGGGTGTGGGCGCCTGAGGCATGCCGCGGGGTCCCTGTTTGTGGTGAGTGTGGGCGTCTGTTGGCGTGTGTGTGTGGTGTGCGGGGGTGCCGTTGCGGACCTGGGGTGTGGACCTGCGGCCGGCGTCTGGTGCCCTCTCACCGACCTCGCCGCCTTTCCCCGTTCCCTCCCTCCCTCCCCCGCAGCTCGCTGTACCCCAACGTCGATTTCTACTCGGGCATCGTGCTGCGCGCGCTGGGCATCCCCGTGGAGATGTACACCGTGCTCTTCGCCATGGCCCGCACAGTGGGATGGGTGGCGCAGGTGGGCGCGGCGGGATGGGGGGGCGCGGGGTGGGCACAGTGGCATGGGAGGCGCGGGTGGGTATGATGGGATGGGGGGCGCAGGACGAGCCCCGTGCTCTGTTCACAGGCTCTGGCTCCACACGGCAGGCCTCAAAGCCACTCTCCCGCGCCTGGCTGCGCGCGCCGTGGGGTCTGCGTCCACGGCCTGGGCTGCTCCAGCAGGGAGTGGCGCCGCGGCCGGCCTGGCCCATGCTGCCTGGCTGCCTGCCGCGGCCCGAGACCCCTCCCTCCCTTTGCCCCATGCCACGCCATCCCACACGCAGTCTCACACACCCTCCCACCACTCCCCCCTCCCAACCCGCTCCTGTTGTGCGCCGCAGTGGAAGGAGATGGTGGCTGACGCCACGGGGCGCATCACCCGCCCCCGCCAGATCTACACGGGCGAGCTGCGTCGCAAGTTTGTGCCCGTGTACGAGCGCCAGATGAGCGGGCGCATCTCGGGTGGGTGGGTGGGTGGGGCAGCGCATGGGGCCAGGCGGAGGCGTGGCAACATGCGCAGGATGGTGTGCGGGATGGTGTGGGGTGGCGTGTGGCCAG